GAAAATTTCTAGAGAGAGATAGTATCGTTGCCAATTCTTTCTAAATATTACCAGAATATTGCCAATCTTTTCTAAATAGTTACAAAGTAAGGAATATAATATACACAAAAATAGGATTGAAAGAAAATCAATGGAGTTGATCATCCTGATATGTCAATTAGAAAAATGTCAAGGGTAGTGGTTTGTGGAATGATGTCACAATACAATGTTGAAGAACAATATGGTCTTAAAAATGGTATTTACATTCTTACAAAAAGCCTTCTTGTTCAAGGCTTTATTGTAGTGGATTATTATAAAGAATTTTATGCGAACTTCATAAAAGATATGAATCAATGGTTGGGATCTTCCCTAATAAAGTATCAAGAGAATATTGTTGTAGGGATCGAAAATTCGCCTGATGCTTTTTTGGGAATGTTGAATGGTAAAAATTTTGGTAAATTGCTTATAAAAACTGATAAAGATTCTAAATTGTGAATTTCAAATATTATTTTTATTTGTTAATTGAATATATTTACTCTATAAGAGAATAAACATCACATATACATTGATATTAAAGCCTGCTGTTGCTTATTACTAGTCAATATGTCTACTGCCATAATTATGTAACATTAATTGTTGATTATCTGTCACTGAATATTATTCATTTATTAATATATATATATTGCAGTAATAATTGTAACAATATTAATATACATCTCAGGAATGTGACCCATCATCAATTCTTATTATGTTCAGCAAAAATTTACCTTCAAACTGCATTTTCATGATCTAGATAGTCCGTCTGATTGCTATATATATCAAACACTTTAGAACAAAATTCTGATTTATGGCATAAATTGTCTAATTTGAAATTCTTCTTTTCCTCCTATTGATAATTTTAAACCTCAAATATCCAAATTATAAAAGCAATGAAAAATGACTGTAAAATGTGTGTTCCGGTGATAAATAAAGATTTAATATCTGATATCATTGTATGCACATTGCAGTGATGCAAGAGAGATAATTATCACGGGAAATTTTACAAACGTTATGTTTGATGACCAAGAGTTTGAATTAAAAAATTTACTTATTAATTAAATTTGTATAGAAGCTAATTATTATTATTATTATCTTAGTTCACTCAAGTCGTAACAAATGTAAAGAATAAGTCGCACTCTTATTCAAAAAGTTTGATCATCCCATCCCACCCTGGAAGAGGAAGATTGTTTAGTGATTTGGTTTGGTAAATTATAGATTACCTTCAGATAATTAGTCCATTGGTTATGACAAACCAGGTTTTACGACTGGTAGGTATATGTTATATATTTGATATATATATAATTTATATTTTAATTTTTCTATATTAATGAAGTCAAATTTATTTAATTCGGCACTCAACTGCGGTGAACGTTGGATTTGTTAAGCGAGTCTGAAACCATATATATGCAGGTCAATATTAGTATGTAGAGAAACTTTTACATACATCCAAGTTGTGTTAACTTGATTTTTTTTGAACTTTGATTTTGAAATTAACTACACGTATAACAGTAATATACAATAATATTATTGATAAAATAAAAATGCGATCGAACTGTCTTTAGTATCTGACTTTAAAGCGACATAGGCTGATTAATATTGATATCTAGAATAACTTTTACATGGCACATAAGACAGGTTTTGGTACAGATTTTTGCAAGTTTTAATTTGGAAGATTTAAAATAGAAAACAAAGAATGCTGAAATTCACCAAGTTGTTTGGTGATGATAAGGTGAAGTTATTCTTTAATAATGCAATTTTCATTTTTCTATTTTTCAAGATTTATAATCAATTAATCCTGTTGGAGAAAATTTAAGGTAAACTACTTAATTGTCGAACGTACGAATAATATTACGAGTAAATTATTTGTTACTATTAATATAAAAATCCGTTGTGGCAAGTAATCAATTTTAAATAAAATTTTCTCATGTGTCCCGTTCATCCACTGTTTTTCAAAAAATAGTTTTGTCCACCATCAATAATACTATTCTATTGTCCACTCCTATATAATTATTACCCTAAAACTATAAGAGTGTGTGTGCTATTGTATATGCAATTCGCCTCTTAAGGCTTCTGGCGCAACGGATTTATGATGTTACGTATTTATA